ATTAGTTAATAATACATGTATACAAACTAGGATAAAAAAAATTATGATGGATAATTTTACGACTTTTTTTTGAAAAAATCAAGTTAATTTTTTTAAATAAAAATGCAACTTAAAAATATATAAAAGATTTATAATAAATGAAATGTGGGAAGTGATGAATACAAAAGCAAGTCCAACCTACCGGAAACTTGCTTTTTTTTATTCTAATTTTAACATGATAAAATACACTATTAATTGTTATAAGAAAATCAAACTTTGGTTTATAGGTTGGACTTTAAACACACTTAAAGGAATATATCAGATTATAGGTTAAACTTTGGACTTTATTATATTTTGAGATAAAACTTTGGGCTTTGGTAAGTTAGACAAAATATAAGTTTAAAGGTTGAGTTTTGATAATTATAAAAAAAATATATTTATTTTTAAGAATATTAAAAAATAAAGTAAAATAGAATATAATTAAATGTTTATGATGTTTATTAATAATTTAAATTTCTATATTAATTGATTGACTCAATTAAAATATTATATACATAATATTACTATTTTAATTTTTATTAATTTTAATTATATTCTTAAATAATTTCTAAAATGAGTTACCAGTAATTAAAAAAATAATCTTTATTTTTTTTTTAATTAGAGCTCAATTTATCAAAAATAAATTAATATTAATTAAAAAAATTAGTTGCATATTATATTTTTATCAGTGACTGATATATTAGTCTCTAATATAACATAATTAGATACTAAAAAAGTATCTAAAATGAGTTAATAATGACTAAAAAATCAATTACTATTTACTAGTGTATTTTAATAAGAAACCAAATATTTTTGTGTCTAAAATAATTTAAGAGTGACTAAAATATTAGCTTTTTTTATATTTTTATTAAAGACTAATACTTGATTTCTAATATAGAACAATTAGATACTAAAAAAATGGTATCTAAATTGAGTCAATTGACCAAAAAAATCAGTCTCTAGTAATATTTAAATTAGAAATTAAAAAATTTAGTCTCTAATTTTAGTACATCTTGAGACTAAAATATTAGTTTCTAAAGTGTTTTAATAGTGAACAAAAATTTTGTCTCAGATTATATTTTAATTAGAGACTAAAAAAGTTGTATCTAATTAAATAAATAATATTTTTTAAACTATTAGCTACTAAAAGTTTGGTCTCCAATTACATTAAAAATATTAATGACAAAAGAGATTGAATTAGGGACCAACTATAATCAATCTTTAAAATAATATTTAAATAAGTTCTAAAGTGACTATAAATTTAGTCTCTAAATCAGTCTCTATTTAATGAATTTCTTGTATGTATAGGAAGCTAGAATCTCAAGTTTAGTTAAAATGTTAGGCTATTGAATGAATTATGAACTTAATGTTGATAGAATCTCTAAAACTTGTAGTTGTAGGGATTGATTCAAAGTGGATTGCATGTTGAAATTGGGGTTTTTGGCATTCTTGAAGGTTAAGTAATTTGATGATTTTCTTGAGTTGTTGTTGATACATGTTTCTTTTTCTTTAATTTTTGAGTTGCATGTCGTTATAATTGGAAGATTTTGAGGTTACATACATGTATTATTGCTTAACTACGTTTTAATTTCTATCAATTAGCTTTATATTAGAGATTTTGTTTAAAAAGATTGTGTCTAATACCACTTGAATCAACGATTTGTTGATAATAATAATTATATTTAATATTAATTATAAATAAGTGTATAAGAAATAGAGCTAATAATAAATTAAGAGAATAAAAAATATTTTCATAAATAACTTTACAAATTAATGATTATTTTTTATTATTAGGATGAAGAAAAAATTTAATTTACTTATAATTAAGAAATAAAATCTAATTTGTTAGTTATAATCAAGAGTGAGTATCCTGAAAAAAAAAAAAAAAAAGTTGTTGATTGATATGGAGAAGTAATTCTTTGTGTGCAATTTTCTACTTTTTTTTTAGTATGCAATGTTGACAATGATTCATTCAAAATTTAGTAATTTCTTTACTGTGAAAAGAAAATGTTAATATAGTTTTGGTAGTTTAAAATTTAGGAGGAGAAGATGATACATTAAGTCTAGACAAGGAAAGTCTCTAGACTATAAAATATTTACAATATTTAGATTTCCCTTATCTATAGGAGACAAGAAAATTTAGTGAACTTTACTTACATTTAATCTTACTTCTTCTTTTTTTTTTTGACAATCCTTACATTTTTTAATTCTTAAATAAATAACTTTTACCGTTATTTGTGTGCATGATATAGTTACATCCAAAACCGTTTCTATCTAACCTAATTTGATTTCGATGGAAAATTTCACTTTAAATGAATTTGAAATCTTTTTAGATTTACAGAAAAGTGGGCCTCAACCATAGTCACTCTCTGTGCATGTGGTAGGAGAAAGAAATTTTAAATTGGTTAAATATTACTTTAGTTGTCAATAATATTGAATGATTTGGATCCATAATTTTAATTAGAGTTGTTAAAACGGGTGAGTTCAGACGATTTGACTCGGTCCACTTCAACCTACTTTTTAAGTGGACTGATACAGCTTGACTTACCAAATTTATTGTCCAAAACTTCCTAATCCGGTCCGGCCCACCACAGGTTGGTGGACTAAACGGGTCGGCACACCAACCTACCTAATTTAAAAAAAAATAATTTAAAATAAACTCTAATATAAAATAATCTTTAATCTAAAGTAAAAATTATCAAATTAAGTATTGTGCATACAACACTAGACTTAAATTAAAAATTGTAAAACTTTAAAAAATCAAAACAAAAAAATAAAAATCCTTTCGTGAGAGTGATTATTCATCAGTATTAAATTTCATTAGAGGTTTGAGTAGATAAATTTATAGCAATTTCATGTTGTTTAACATTGACTTTATCTTTTATCTATAAAAAATGATATCTGGTTAAAATAATACATATATAATAATAAATAGTTAAGTGGGTTGTTAATGGATTGGGTTGATAAGGGTGTAAGTGGGTTAGGTGGACAGCCCGGTCCACCACGAACTCAACCCGGGTGAATCGGATCAAAAGTGGGCCGGATTATTTTGTTGACAAGACTTGACCTGTTTTCAAGGTGGGTTGAGTTGCCCCATGAGTCGGAGTCCACATTAATGGCTCCAATTCTAATGTTGACAAATAATAATAATTAATTATGTGTTTAAAAAAAATAGAAGAAAATGGAGTTAAAAATAAAATGAAAAACAAAAATGATCATTTGTTTATATTTATTATGTGAAAATATTAAATTATATTATTTATTTATTAAAAAATTACAGTTATTTTTATTATATAATTAATATTTATCAACTATAATTAAATTTAACAAATATTTTAAAAATATATTTATCTCATTCATTAATGATATATATATATATATAATAGTATTTAAATATGAATTAGTGGTTTAAATAATTAGGCTTAATTATGTTTTTTACCGCTTAAATTTAAAGTTTTGAAATCTTATTAGAAATATTTAGTTCATCTTTTGGAATCATTTCAAATTTCTTAAAAAAATTTCCACTAAATTTTGAAATTACATATTTTATCATTTAATATTTAATTTTTTTTACAATTTGTTTTCTCATTAATTGACCTTTTATTTTTGTTAATTAATCATTGAGGTGATATATTGAGTGTTGATGTATAACACATTATCACCCATATATTATATCCAGAATTCATGATTGCGATCAACATATCACATCAACTGTTAATATATCACCTTAGTAATTCATGTGTCACAATAATAATTAATGTGTTATGTTAGAAATCAATTAATAATGTCAATTAGTGAATTAGCTAGATGATTAAATATGCAAATTTTGGAAGTTGAGTGATAAAATGTGCAATTTCAAAAGTTTGATGGTAAAATTGTTAAACTTGAGTAATAAAAATTGCAATTAAGCTAGATGATTTAGTAGAAAGTGAAGATCATGGACTCTAATCTCCCCTCAATTGTTTTTATCATTTTTTTTATAATAATTTTCCTTGCTAAGAGACCAATTGTTTCCATAGGAGATGTGTACCTTATGAGTTAGACTCAATAGAATTTGGGGACTTAATTCATGTATTTAATTTATTCGGAGTTATTAGAGAGTTGGATCTACTTTTTGGAGAATGAGTCAAAGTAATAACAAGAATATTTATAGTGAAACATCTTTCACAATCCCTTAAGTGATAGTTCACTAAAAGATCGAGGGATAAGTAATTCAACTCATTATGAATGCTTGAAATTCATATTATGCAAACAGATATTATTTTTGCTAGCCATAGAAAACTATACTATACTACGTCAAAATAATTTATATATCATTTATATCAAATAGTAGTTAATATAACTCATTATATAATTTAATTTAGAAAAACATTTATAAATAATTTAAATTTTAAGAAGAGTGTGGGACGAGTTCCTTATGAAGTTTCCGATACTCACAAAGACAAGGTTGAGTTTAACATTTTCATCCTTGTCTCTATTAAACTTACGTGGAGCTTGTCTTGCCTTAAGCAAGGATAGAGACGAATAGTATCAAAAGCCACCTAACTTATCCCGTTGCTTCGTTATTCCTCAATTTTTATCATCATGTTTGGATAAAGAAAAGGCTTGAAATTTAAAAACTTATAAAATAAAATAAAATAAAGGAACCATAGAATATAAGAACTAAAATACACATGTTAAAATGCAAGTGACATGGATGATGGTCGAAATTGCGCGACGTATTCAATAGAACACCTCTTGTATGGGATCCCTCAAAAGTAGCGAAAAAATTTCAGTCTCACAAGAGGCATCCACGTGTCAAACCTACGATCGACAAACCATGACAAAATATCTGCTCCCCCACTCAAAAAGCGCCACGGCAGTACTTCACAACACAATCCTCTTCCCACTTTAAGCCACGTCAGCACAGTGTTCCAAAACGTGTTCCCATCACGCACCGCACATTTCACTCGCGTTAACGCCTGGCCGTTGATTTTTCCAACACAAAAATTGTGGTCACCGTAATTCTCACAATTCTCGATAAATACAACCACCTCATCCGGTTCCCAGGCCCAGTAGATTCCTCTCCAGATTCATTTCGCTCATCAAAGGTACTCTTCCATGCTTCACTACTTTTCCACTTTGTTAATTTACTCGTTCATTTCATTCTACAACTTTTCTTTCATCATGTGCCAAAATCTTCCATTTGAGGCCATCTTACAGGTGCATGATTCTTTTTGGTGGTTGGTATCAATCATGAAAATGTGCTTTGTATTTGATAATTGTGTGAAACTATTAGTGCTGCACTTGTATCACCATATATCAAACTTATATAATTCAAGTTTTATTTTGATTTTGTAGGATCTTGGCATTGAAAATCTGTGATTTGTTTTTAAAGGAAGATTAGGTTAGGTAACTTGTTGGTATGGGAGTTGTGAGTTTTTCTAGCTCAGCTTCTCGTACTCCACTTGGATTGAATACAAATTTTTCCAGCTATCGTCTGAAGAGACCATTAACTGTGGCATTTAAGGGGGATAAACACAATGACTCGGCTTTGGTTGCAACACAAGACAAAGTTCCTGTGCCTCTTGAAACGGCCAAGACGCAGAAGAAAAGGGTAGGGAAAACTAACAAAGTACCTAAGAGAGAAAGAGTGGAAAATTCTTCATCTTCCTCGGATGTGGACTACAATGAAGCTGCTGCCATGCTTGAAAATATATACAAACTCAGTCCCGCCGGTGATGCAGAATGTGTAGATGGTAAAATCAAAAGAGTCTCTCGGAGAGGGAAAAGGCTTGTTGATGGAACTGAAAAAAAGGAGTTAAACAGTGATAGGGTGGTCAGAAGCCAGAACAAGATAGCTAAACGATTGAATCTTGATCAGAGAATTTCATTAAAGAAGAATCAAGGTGGGGATGGAGTCATTCCAGGTCGAAAGAGGAAAAATGTTAAGAATAGAATTGAGAAAATTGAAGAGCTTATTAGGGAATATTCAGTATCAACTGATTTTGTCAGTATGGATTGGAAGAAAATGAGGATACCCCCGGTTCTTTCTTCTTCTGAGCATGCTTGGTTGTTCAAATTGATGCAACCTATGAAGGTGAGAAGTAATTACTATTGATTTTTTAGCCCCCTTTCCTTGATTCTTCTTCTCTTTATAAAATAGTCGTATAGATAATTTTTGTTGCTGAGTAGCAGGGATTCAAGGCTGTAATACCATTCCAAGATAACTTTATAGTTAGTGAAAACTCAGAATTTGCATTTGTTCTCAGGCACTGCTTCGAGTGAAAGAAGATTTACAGAAGGAGCTTGCTAGAGAACCTGCCGATGGAGAACTAGCTGATGCAACAAACATGAGCATTGCTCAAGTAAAGAAAGCAATGGAGGTTGGTCAAGCTGCACGAAACAAACTTATCAAGGTAAATTTGAAGTGTTGAATTCTTTTACAACTTAACTTTCAACAAATTTAAAATTAAGAAGGAATTACATATTATACCGTCATCGTTCCTTTTACTTTGTTGCGTTCTCTTTCTGGTTTGTGGAGGTGAAATTACTGGTGGTATTTGGAATGATCAAGTTATGTAAATAAAATAAGTAATTGTGGTTATATCTTTTCCAGCACAATCTCCGGCTTGTCTTGTTCGTGATCAACAAATATTTTTCAGATTTTGCAAGTGGCCCTAGGTTTCAAGATCTTTGTCAGGCAGGAGTTAAGGGACTTATTACAGCAATTGATCGTTTTGAGCCTAACAGGAGATTTCGGCTATCAACATATAGTTTGTTTTGGATAAGGCATGCTATCATTCGTTCGATGACCCTCTCAAACTTCACACGTGTTCCCTTTGGACTTGAATCGGTATGCTTTCTTCTTACTATGTTTGGTGATTGATGTTTGGTTTAAGCAGCATGTGCTTCAATGACTTTTACTTCCATTTTTTATTTTCCTGTTAACAGCATACTTTGTTTTCAATGTCATTAACTTGCAATTCCCACTCAACCATTTTGTTGTGGTTGCTTGAAAGACAATATTGGATTATAGCCAAAGATGTTAACAGTAAATATGGCTTTTTAAAAAAGATGAACTTAGTATGGTTGTCCCATGTGTCTCAACTTTGTGTAACTTCTCAACTTCTTTTTGAGCAGGTTCGAGCAGAGATCCAAAAGGCTAAAACTGAGTTAGCATTTGAGCTTCAGAGGTCACCAACAGAGGAAGAAATAATAAAAAGAGTTAATATATCCCCTAAAAGATACCATGACATAATGAAAGCATCAAAATCCATTCTTTCGCTGAACTCGAGACATACAACCACACAAGAGGAGTTCATTGATGGGATCGTTGATGATGCTGCTGTTAATGGTGATAAGAGGCAACCTGCTCTACTAAGGCTTGCTCTTGATGATGTGGTAACAACTCAACCTCGTGAGACTTTCTTTGATTCTGCATTTGTCACTATTGTGCCATTCTATTGAAGTTAAATTTGAAATTTATTATTATTATATGTTCACATAAGTATGATAATTGTTAAAAATCTCAAATCAATTAGAGATATCATCAAAATAAATCAAAATAAAGTATAGAAGTTGATTTTGTATAGTTAGGCTTTTATCCCTCATTTTAAGATGTTAGCAAAGTTTGTTCCAATGATTATTGTTATCTATTATGTCACCCACTATCAGACTGCATACAAGTTGGTTGGTTAAGTTAGAGTTTGTTTAGATACAAGCTAGAAACAGTTTTGAGAACTTCTTTATTGAAAATAAAGAGTATTTTTTAGTAGATAAACTCTAAAAAAATGTTTATAAACTTGTATCTAAATAAACTCTTAGATCCAAACTCACATTCTAATAATAATCGGTGTTCTTTTCAGCAAAATACTGATATCTTTCACCAAATAGGGAATTGGTTAGATGAGTTTTGGCCATTACCATATATTCTTATTACAAATGAGTTTTTAAAAATTCTTATTAGGACTATGGTTGGTTATTGTAGTTTTAAAAAATTTTGTTTAAACATTTCTAGTTTGTCAGTGATATATCAATTTTTTTTTTTTTGGTCCAATGTAATATATCTAATTCAATTACATGATATTGCCATGGTCATTATTTGCAACTAATCTGAAAATTTTTTTCTACTAGCTTGATTCCTTGAAGCCAAAGGAGAGCTTGGTGATCAGACAGAGATTTGGACTTGATGGGAGGGGTGACAGAACGTTGGGAGAAATTGCTGGGAACTTGAATATATCTAGGGAAATGGTAAGAAAGCACGAAGTGAAGGCTCTTATGAAGCTCAAGCATTCAGCTCGATTGGATTATCTTCGTCGCTATGTTGTATAAATAAATGACTAATGTATAGAAACACCCTTACCTTGTTATACACCATACTCCTCATTTATATTACTGGTCATTTAAATACCAACAATCATAATCATACTCATGTAATTTGTATATCATATACTTGAAATTACACAAAGTATATAACTGCTTATACTTGTTACATACATGTGAATGTGATGTACTCTGTTTGGCGTTTTTCATGAAGGGTGTATAGAGAACTCTAGGTCCATTGCTTTGAGATGAACCAAATTTCATTCGTGGTTTGTTGGCATAGCTTTTTCGGTTTTATTATTATTTTTTATCGGGAAACGGGTACAACTCCCTAAAGTTTTATCTTATTTACGAATAAATATCCTAAAAATTTTAATTTAATTCCAACTGATTTTGATATTTATTATTTTTATAAATAGGCACTTTGAACTTCAATTTTATTCTAATTTATTCTAAAGTTTAAGTTTTTTTTATAAATAACTCTTTATATCAAATTATACTTAAAATTAATTATGTTAAATGTGAATTATTTATTAATATTTCTTATTCTTTTGTTTTAAATTATTTTTTCATATATTAAAATATAATAAATATGAATTTATAAATAAAAAATAAAATCAATAAAAAAATATTTGATTTTTAATTATAAATATGTTTAATATTTCAAAAGTAATTTATAAAAATAAAACTATTAAATGATAGAAATTTATAATAAATAATGTGTTAAGATTTTTTTTTTTTTTTTAAAGCATAAAGATTTCTTCTTTATTAATAGTTTAACTCAAATTTAGTATAGAAGTGTTGGGATTCAAACAAGTCCCACATCGATAAAATAATAGAACAAATAACAACTTATATAATACAAACATACTTCAATGATTGAGAGGCCTTTTGGGTGATGACCAAAAGCAAAACCGTGAGGGTTAAGGCCCAAAGCGGACAATATCTCATCATTGTGGAGTATGTTTGTGTAATAACCTTATAAAAATAATTCATAAAATATTCTCTCAGACAAATACCATAAAAATAACCCCATCAAGGAGACTATTTAAAAGTGAATTTTAAAGATTAATTATGATGAAATTAATTAAATTTTTTATGTGTGAAAGAAGATAAAATTTAAGAATCAATTGAAAGAAAACTAAAGTTTGAAATATGAATTTGTTAAGCAATTACTTCCACCATCTCATATTAAGAAAAAATAAATATTAAAATAAGTATTATGTTAATTTTTTAATATAATATTAATTAAATTTTTTATTTGTACTCTTGATAATATTATGCAAAAAAAATATTATATTTCATTGTTTTTAATAAATTAAAGAAAGATTAATCATAAAATTGGTTTTATGATATTATTATTTTCTTTTTATTTATTCAATATTTTTTTTAATTGATGTAATATGGACGTAAAGAAGAGAGTAAAATTCAAGGATGAATCAAGACAAAACTAAAAGTTAAGATATCTATTTATAACACGTAAAATTTAAAAGTTTTTTTTTTTTTAATTTCATGGATACATTGTACATTCACACTCTGTTACAAGAACCAAGAACCGAAGAAGATTCCAGGCTTCAGGAGGCGCAAATTTAACCATTGGATCTCGTTCAAAATAGCTTTTTGATTTTGGTTCACAACGCAGCTTCTAGAATTAACATGCCATATGATATATATACCTCCCATTTTTTATAAATATACTTTTTATTTTTTTTAAATAAAATTCTTAAAATATTTTTCTAATTCAATTCTTATTTTAAATTTTATTTTTAAATTATTTTTCATTCACCTCCTTCTTTAATTCTTCTTCTTCATCATTATTATCTGTTTGATCATATTTTGTTGATTTTTTTTTTTCATCTTTTATTATTAATTTTTCCTTTTAACAATCAAAATAGTCATAATTTATGTTTGTATCTTTTAAATTTTATTTTTTTACTTTTTACTCTATCATTCTTTAAACCCTAATTTTTCACTCAATCTCCATCGTTCTCTACATCCAATACAAGGTAAAAATTAATATGTTAAATTATATTTTACATCTATAAGTATTTTTTGCAACTTATATAATATTACTTGTGCACAACAAAAATAAATAATTAATTAAATTTTTGGCATTATTTGGTTCAGCAATGAACAATGAAGGGTGGGTAAAGTTATACTGGTAATTTAAATTTGTCCATACTTTCATTAAATTTGTTCATACTTTCGAAAAAGAAACTCGAGAGATTTTAGTGTTACCGAAATTAATTTTTGGAATTGAAAAATTTTTATTTCGGAAACAACTTTCTGAAAGTGAGTTGAGTTTCTTACAAAATTCTGGAAACTTTTTTCCGAAACATTAATAGTGTGTGTATTTATTACAATAATTTCGGAAAGAACTTTTCGGAATAGTAATTTTAGTGTTCTAGAAAGTACTTTCTGAAATTATTCCAATAAAAAATTCTTTCTAGAATAGTAATTTTAGTATTCTTAAAAGTACTTTATGATATTATGTACAAACACACTTTTGAAAAATACTTTCCAGAATAAAATTTTTTTTTTCAAATAATATTAAGGATAATTTAAGAATTTAATATTTTTTATAAAAAAAAGGAATGTATGTATAAAAAAATAGAAGTATATATATGATCAGCCAATTAACATAACATAACTTGTGTACGGGCCCAATCCATTGGAAGAGCATATTGAATGGGCCTAGCTATCAGACCAATTGCCACAGTAATATCATTCCGGACATAAAGTGGTATCGAATATTAACTACGCCAAAAAGCTTCGCAAATTTGACCAAAAATAAAATAAAATCTTGGCAAGGAACCAATGAAATTTGGCTCCACTGGAATGGGTAAAAATTCACTGTCCAAGGTTACTTCTTATAGATGATTCAAATTGACCACTAGGTTAGCCGCAAATAAAGATTGAGTTGTATGTACAAGTCTTAAATTTGATCATGTTATTGTATTGTAATTTTTATTTATAAAAAAATATGATTAAAATTTAGTATTTGGCTTTTTTCACTGTTTAGGGCAAATTTCTTTTTTTTTTAAAAGGGTAATTTTATTTTTTTAAAATATACAAAATAAGTAAGTCGTATTTATGAAAAACTTTCTAAATATGACTTCCACTTTTTTTTTTCTGATAAAATTAAAGTCGTGCTTTTAAAATTAACTTTTTTGTTTTAAATTTACATAAAAATAGTATTTAACACATAAAAAAAATTGAGCAAAGGCAGGGGTCGTGTTTACATACATGACTTTACTATCTTAAAGTATATATAATAAAAAAATCGAAACAGGACTTCCAGACCTACCCATTTAAATTAACAATATTTATATCGTTATTTAAACACTTTATAATCAAAAAAAAAAAAATATATATATATATATATATATATATATATTTAAAGAAAAACCAATTATTTTTACTATATATCGAACATTATGTCAGATATTAACTTAATAATTGCAGTCATAAATAATTACAATAGAGTAAAAAAAATATTCCCTTCCTTTTGAAAAACACTTCACTTATATTTTATTAATAGTTGCTCACCACAACTAATGAATCCACATTGGTGAGCAACTATTAATAAATATTCTAAGAATATTTTTCTTTTATCTTCAACTTTTAAGGATGCTGATAATTAATTAATGTTATATATATTATATTATTGATTTTGAAACTTTAGTTGATCTGATATTTTGGACACTTCTATATTATTAATTTGACGTTGAAATGAAACTTCTCTCAGAATTTTCATTTTATCTTCTAAAGTCCTTAAGTCAAATATATAGTAGGGTGTGCCTTTGATTCAAAGTATAAAATATATTCCCATGCACAAATAAGACTCGTATGGAATATATGACGATGGAAATGACATTTTATTAAGTATTAACAAATGTGCATATAATTAACAACTGAAATTCTTCAAAATCTTTTTTTTATTATTTATTTTCTTATGAAGTTGAGAAGCGAGGAGGGTGAAATGACCCCACATAGTGATCTTGAGTTGGCAGTTAGCCACCAAAAACTTAATTCGTTGTCAAGTCACGTTGGGCAAAGAAATAAACAACTTAGTCGATGCTAGTGAAAGAGTACGCAATGTTTGTTTGTAACTACTAATGATAGCCATCAAGAATTGACATTGATATTTCATTCGAAGATATATGGAGTCCTACAACATATATTCTTTGTTTTCAAGATGGTTTGGATCCGATGCATCGTGTGAACCAACCAAAATATTGATATTAAAGATTTACACGTCACTTTAATAGTTTGTCTTATCTGCATGCCGGTGACGTCAAATTGGACTTGACAACTATACGAAGCTAATTAGTATGAAAGCGTGTTCCTTCCATCATTGTTACTGTGAATAGCTAGTTATTCATAATTATAAGGTTCATGTATAGTTATTAGACTATTAATATATAGTTACTTTAATTTTACTTACCCTAAATAAATATCAAACTTTAGTGAATTGTATTCCATATTGCAGGTTGAAGATTTTTCTTGATTTGACGTACTACTGTTGACGTAGTTTCGGAATAGGATAACTGATAAAGTTAGCAAGTGGACAAGGAGACTTGGGAGGAAAGATCTTTTCTGATTAGAATGTTATGTGAAAATTAATTTGTTCTTGCACGATGGAAAAGACAACGTGAAGGAATTAGAATGAAAGCTGACAAGAGCGAAGTGAGAAACTTTAGGTAAATCAAATCATTAGCAGCAGCAGATATTTTTTTATGGGGTTGATTATAATAGTATTATTCTTTTTATAAACTTTATTTGTCTAGCTGTATTCAAATTATGAATTTTGTTTTTGTCATGCATGTGAATTTCTCGTTTAGGATGACGAGAGTTTAGAAGAAAAAAAGAGTTTGAATTGAAAGCAAGGATAAGCATATTCAATCGTCTTAGTATCAATGAGATTATATTGAAGTGGTTTTTGCTTTAAACATGTAAGAAAGTAATTGTTTCTTTTGCATCGTTGATTATTTCTCCCTAGCTTCACATGTAGAAACGATATGATGCACCTCCTCAAAATTCAAAATACATGTTCCAATATTAATAATGGGTGATCAAGATCCCCTTAGATATTCCACAAAAGTTAAATATGTTCATAATGATAAAGCTGAGTTGTGTTTTACAGTTAAGATCATGAAACGAAAGACAAATATAAAAAGTGTACGTACGAAACCATGAATGGTGAA